TTTTGGTTGCAAGGCCTTAAAAAGGCCTTCCCTTCTTACAGAATCGTATTTAATCCCAAGCGTTGCCCATATTGGACTCTTTGCAGCTTCATCAGGATTATCAATCCGTAAAGTTTTTGGAATCACAACAGAACTTTCTGAATTCTTCTCTTCAAGACATTCTTTACTCCCCGGCTTTTTTGGTTTGAGCAATTCCCCATCCCTTGAATGCTTGCCCAGTAGTGAGTCGGGACTGTAGCTCGATGCCTTTTGATTTGGTGTAGGCGATTGTGACGATGACCATGTAACATTCCAATAAGGTGTAGGGTAGAATGGCATGGGAAATCCTGCAGGGCAGATGGGTGGCACTGGAGTTGCAGAAGCCCAGGGTACAGGCCAAGGAACCACGGGAAGACATGGAACTGGATACGGAAACCCATTAATATTTTGCACAACTGGCTCAAGGGATCCATTCTTGCCTCCCTCTATCGTTGACTTTGATGTTGTGACGGCCGATCCACTATAAAAATCATCACAATTCTCGACAATTTTGCAATAAATCGGGGCCCCTTGATCAGTTTTATGATATCCATTTCGAATACCTTTTGGCACTTCTATCTCTGAAGGATTCAGAACAGAAGCCATCGATTCACAAATTTGTGAGTCGGGACTGAAGGACAGAACAGTGCCATTAGGTCTAGATGTTGAGTGATAGAATCCATTTGGACTGTCAAGTTTAGATGCTTGAAGGGATTCAGAGATTGTAAAATGATGACAGTGAGAGGCAGAATTCTTGTTCTTGCGTCGACCAGCTCCCACTGGCACATTCCTCATATTACCACCAGCTGTCCAATATCTTTGACAACTCCTGCAGAAATGGCGAGGCTGGTTGATGTTGTAATTGTTGTAGTAACAGAACTTCGTATCCATGCTTTTACAGCGAGGACATGGAAGGATTTTGTCCGGCTTTTTCAGTGTTTTGTGCTGTGAATTAGTTCCATCACTTGGATCACTCTCACTTTTGGAAGGATGTATTGATGCCACATCTTCATCAATGTTGGGAGTTTTTGGATCATCAAATTCCGATGAAGGGATAGAGTTTTGGGATTCCCCTGCAGCTGGACGCAGATCCTTTTCTTGTGGTTTTGATTCACAACACCGTAGTGCTAATCCATCCTAGAATTGCAAAATTAAATTCCCATGAGTTTGACCTATAGTAATTTCAGACTAAAACACCATTAGGTAATTGGCAATATAGTAAATCATTAGCTCACGAAACAGTAAACGAGATCAAATCAGTGGGAGCAAGATCTTTCTCCAATTTTCTTCTATTATGGCCGTAAACATGTTTGATGGGGAAGATTGCACAGTAGTGACAGAGACGAAAGGAAAAAAGAACTAAAATCTCGTTCATTGCAGAGTTGAGTCGTGTCTAATACTGAATACCAAACTTGCACTGAAAGGACAATATTGCTGAATTGATATCATGACGATTACATATAGCACACAACAATTCTTGAAAACAAATACCAGAGTTTTATCAAGCTTCTGTTTGATATTACTGCGAATCCCGACCCTACCGTATACTTGTAACCACAAAATTGGAGAAAGTAACCTTTGAGGCTTATGTTGACCCCAAAGATTGGAAATCAGAAAAATAATTCTTATTCTGCAGTCAATATCAGGTTGATCAAAATTCAAAAATATGAAAAAAAATCAACTTATAGACTTAAATTCTGAGTCCAGTAAAGAGATGAGTGTATAAGCTACTCAAGAGCTCCTTCAGTATTACAAATAAGATAGGAAATTTTCTTGGTCTTACACAATCAAATTACAAACACCACAATTTAAAAAAATTAGGATATTAATTTTTAAATCAAATTATACAATTCTAGAATTCAAAATACCCCGATAGTCCAAAAACCACCAAAATTTCTCAGGAAAAAGTGAAAATGAGGGTAAAAAACGCAGAAAACTAAAACTACAATTACCTCTTCAATCTGCTGTTTTTCTTCATCAGCATCTGCTTTTTCTGCATCTTCTTCTTGTTCGACTATGTTCACTTTATTATCATCCAAACAGAACCTCTTATCGGACCCACCACAACTTTCATCATCAATCTCGTCGGAAGACTCGCAGCCGGCGACCACGGCAACCTTTTTCCCGTTCTCCGGCAGCACAATCTTCATCCCAAATAGTTTAATCTCCGGCTCCTTCACCTCAACCATTTTCTTTCCAAAAAAAATATATGCAGTCTTTGAAACGGCAAAAACAAAGGCTTTGTTGGCAGCGCTAAGCAGTTTGATTTTGATCCTGCTTGTAAGTTGTATACTTAAACAAAACAGCTCTTCAAAGTGTGGGTGCCACTGTGCCAGGTCAGCAAAATTGCTGGTTTTCTCAGCCACAAGATTTCATCGTGGCCACAAAGAAGAAGTACTTATTTTTACAGCAAAAAGATAAGTAGATTCTCGGTTGCACGGTTGGTGTTTACCAAAACTTGTGTAACTAACACTAACGGTCCATTACGTGGAAAAAGGTGATTGGTTGGTATAGGATTAACATCGTACTTTCTTTTGAGTTATGTTATATGTACAAAGTTGGTTGACAAAATAACGTCTATACCAATCATTTTAAAAATAGATTTTTAAATCATTTGAAATCAACGGTCTAAATTTTGTTAACACACTTTGTAACCCAACTTTTGTAACTCAACTTTGTACAAATAGCTTTATTAACTTTACGATGGTTCGTCTAAATCTAACGGCTCTGATTTTACTCGAGTGTCTTCTTAATTTTCTGCACTTTTAAGTAGATATTTCCAGTTCAATTCAAATACTTTTTGAAATTAGTCTTTTTATCTTGAGAAAAAATATTTAAAAAGACAGTAAGACAAATAAAATCAGATTCAGTGATTAAATTATAATTTATATCATTTTAAAAATAAATTTTTAAATCATTTGAAATCAACGGTCTGAATTTTGTTAACACACTTTGTAACCCAACTTTTGTAACTCAACTTTGTACAAATAGCTTTATTGACTTTAAGATGGTTCGTCTGAATTTGACGGCTCTGATTTTACTCGAGTGTCTTCTTAATTTTCTGCACTTTTTAAGTAAATATTTCCAGTTCAATTCAAATACTTTTTGAAATTAGTCTTTTTATCTTGAGAAAAAAATATTTAAAAAGACAGTAAGACAAATAAAATCAGATTCAGTGATTAAATTATAATTTATATTTATATATTTCATAAATAATATAATTATCATCCGCTTATTATCCACATATTACGTAGAATTCATAACTTATTATACTTAAATTTTAATTTTATCACTTCTCAAACGTACACCAACCTTCTTAATACGAGATACCATTTTAGTCGATTTTTTATAGTGAAAAGGAAAATTTGCATAGAAGGTCCCCAAGCATTGAAGCTAGAGTCTAGACACACTTGAGTCCCCATTATTATGGTCTGTTTGTTTTTTATTCTCAAATTTTACAGTAAATCAATTCTCATCTTCAATCACACATTTTTCAATAAAATAATATTTTCCATCGCATCAATAATTTTTCTTCTTTTTCAACCACACATTTCCCATTGTATCACTATTCAAAAATCAATTCTTCCCTCAAAAATCCATACCAAACAAGCACTTATTATTATTATTAATTTCTTTTATGGTGATCGAAGTAGAGCATTTTTCGGGAGTGGTCGATTAGCCCCTTCTTGATTTTCAGTTCGACTTTTCTTGAATTATCCCTACACCGCAAACCTACTTTGATGGACTTTAGGAGTATGAATTAGAGAAAAGATCACATTTTCAAACTTTAGGAGTATGAATTAAAGTAATTAAAAAAGTACTTTTGACTAATATCCAAAAGTTTTGATTTTTGGTATTGATTAATCATTAATCTTCTTTGAAAGAGACATTTTATATTATTAACAAATTTTTTAAATGTGTGACGGTCGAATGGTCGGTTATTACATAGTTGAGGACAAATTTTGATTTAGATGTGTTGTCTCCAAGTGATTAGAGGATACCTACTTCAGATTTGAAATACATGAATGTTATGTCAAGATTTTATACTTTGACTTGGTCTTATTCTCCAAGGAGCTTATAGTTCCAATTTTTTTTTTTCTAATTAATTCACAATATACTTGTCAAACTACCACTTATAAGATCTTAAATATTAGAGGACATAACTTTTTTTATTAAAGAGAGTGAAAAAATTATCTATTTAAATTATATCTTCAACACGTCACTTCACGTGCATGTTAGATTTTCACAAGCCAGTGATTATAGACTTTGAAAGTTAACAGGTGCACATTTTTCAATACCGCATAATGAAGATACATTTAAAGGGTTCCTTGAGAGGGTTTCAACTTACAAAGTAACTACCGATCTCGTTCAAAATCCCTCCACCTTCGGAGGCATAATTTACTCCATTTTCTAGTATGACTTCTTCAGTTAGAGATAGATCAAAAAAAGCAGGAGTCCTTTGAAATCCCATCTTGTACCCTGAATTCAATTGGAATTATGCTCAGCCAAACTCATGTTACACATAAACAAATAGTCGATATACAAAAGTCTCTCGACATTTATGTTACGCTGGACGAGATTGCATTGGAGAAGACCAAGAAAGGAACTCAAGTCAAAATTTTGTGCACTGTCCCAAGAAATTTTTGATTATTACCTACCATAACAGCGAGAGTAAGGCAATTAGAGAACCTACAATACCAAGGCAGGCTTGCCCGAGCAAGACTTTCCGACAAGTAATTATTGTTCCCAACATCCGAGATACAATCCCCAAAGATAAACTGCAGCATTTTGCAATTGTAATGTCCACTGATCAAAATTGCAAAAATGGTCATGTATATCACCAATGACAATGCTGTCCACTTCATGTTAATCTCCACAAACGACTACGATATTCTCAGGCTTTTCAACTCAAACTACTGAAAGAAAGAGTAGTTGCTTGCTTCGGTCTTAAAATGGCAAAAAGAGATGGAAAAAACGAAAGGGTTCTGCAAGAATCAGCTGAAGTAGGCAATATTTGGTGAAAAAAGGAATGTTTTCTGCCACAGGAATTTTTCTTGAACTGATTACACGAACATTAAGAACTGAGGGTGAACAAAGTGCAGGACTAACGTTAAGGAGAACCATTTGTCGCAACTTCCATGTCTAAATTCTTTCTTTTGAACGTTTTGGCTAAGTCTAAAAATTAAGTGTAAGCAACTTTTTGTTTGATTAACTATTTCATTTAAAAATTTTAACTATTAGGGAGGGACCAATTATACATTTCGATTGTATTTTCAACATGACTTTGATGGTTTTTTCGGTTGTTAGCCTACTTATATATTTTTTATTGGGTCCTATCTTTTCTAACCTAAAGCCCATACCTATTTTCCCTATATACCCATTGCCCCATCACTATTGCTATTGGTGAGAAATTTTGGGCAGCCCTTTTTGAGAGAAAAAGAACGTTATTGGCTTGGTGCTCTTTCCTGGCTTTGGCCATCTGTACTCGTTCTTCTCCTCTCTCTCTTAGCCTTTGTGGTTGAACTCTTAGCTCCCAATAATATTCACATTCAGTCCTTCGTGGGCAGAAACTGTAGAGCAACCGTTTGGGGTTTTTGTGTTGGTTTTAGATTGGATTGCAATTGTGGTGTCAATTGGAAGTTAACTGAGCCTGATTTCTTGGTGTGATTGAAGCTCAATATTCAATAAATAACATTAAAAAATTAAGATTATAAATGTTTTTTAGTCAATAATATTAAAAACATAAAAGTTTTAACAAATTTAAACTACTAAAATATATTCCATAAAATGAATATATAAATTAAATAATAATCGGATAATACCTTTGAACATATCCACCTTTTTCCTTGAGAACACCATCAAGAGAAGAAGGTTATAGCACTGATGAACCCTAAGGAATACTAATGGTAAGACAAACGTAAAAGTATATGTACTATGCATGCAAAAGAAAGTTATTTAATGTAATAATTTTATAAAACATTTTCATATTCATGTTACTGCTACTTATTGAATAACTACTTTGAAAGCAGGACGAAGTGATTAAATGGGCTGAGACTATTTTACACATGGCGTTCGAAAAGAAAATCGACTTTTTTTTATTGAATTAATGGAACAACTGACAGTAAGTGGATGAAATGACGTTTTGGCTTAAATATGGAAATAATGGTGAAAATGTTAAAAATTAAAATGTATGAATGTTTTGTACAATAATATTGAAAAGTATGGATGTTTTGTATTAATTACGCTGACTTTTTATATTAAATTAACGGAGCAACTAACGGTGAGTAGATGAAAGTACATTTTTGTCTATGAAATATGGAAATAAGGGTTCAAGTGCCAAAAATGAAAGATATAAAAGTTTTGCACAATAATATTGAAATTTAGGGACGTTTTGTGCGTATTACCCTTCTTAATATTTAATTGTAATATGTAAAAGTTTATAGAAGTTGACCTTGTTCCTCTTCAAAGGTCAAAGGTCTCGAACCGAGATATGTCTTCCCATCCAAGAGAATACGTCAGGGACTATTAATATGTCACATGCAATGCTATATGACATCCCGTACGAAAATTGTCTTATCCTACAACTGATAATTGTAGAATCTCGTATGCATAATTTTATATACTTCTCAACAAAATTCTAGACGTCACAAGCCTCATAAATGAACCATTAATCTGTACTTGCTCTTTCAAGTGATCCTAGAGGGTTCCAAAAGCCTCTCTGTGTTTTCATCAAATGCGCAGGCCGCTTACATGCACTATCTAAACGTCTAGCCTTCAGACGTGTCTTCCATCCATGAAGAACTGTGTCTACACCTTGTGCAATATGCCTTTGATACTACATATCCATCAATTCCATCATTATCCAGCGTACAATATTCCGTCTAATCCTCATCAGGGTCTATATACTCTATTTTCGAGCTCAACTCGACTGTCAAATAAAAGCAAGCAAACCACACCCCTATCTCGTAACATGTTGGCGTGGGCCAAGATTGGGGTTTGCACGGACTCGATAGTGACCAAATTTGACACAACTAATTATGAGTACATTTTATTGAAGTTTTATAATTATAATTCATAATACTAAGCCCCGGTTTGAATCTCATTAAAATGATATTTTTATGGGACATCACATTTTTTCTACAGTATTTTTGTCGTTTAAAAATTACCCTTTCTCTTTTTCATAATTCCAAAAATACCATCTCTTGTTTAATCCTACCATTCTCATCAATTTTGCAAGGGTGAAATGAGAAATCAATACATATAAGTTGACACGTCATTATTCATTAATCAACGAATGCAGTGTACAGATAACCACTTTGCACCATTTTTAAATTGTGCGAACCCACGTTGACAGGAAATGAAAATACATTTTGGGATTTTAATGGAGCCCAAACACAAACTAAGTATTGTATGAGTATATTTTACAAGACTTCGTCACAAAGATACATGTGCAAATTACTCAATTCCCTACNAAATTTAAGTGCAAATTACTCAATTCCCTACTTTTCAATATTCGAAATCAAAAATCAGATTTCATCTTTTAATTTTCAAAAATCAGATTTTTTATATATAGATACATGTTTTTTATATTTAATTAAATATTAATAATATTATTATAAAATTTAATATATATATATATATACCCCCACATCACCCCACCCCACCCTTTAAATCCCTAAATTCTCGACTCTAACTGCCTCCCCCCTCTCTATCTCTCTCAGAGTCTCTCTCGTGGTGGCGGCGCCGTGGTTGTGGTGATATACTCGTGGAGGCGAGCAAGGCAGTCATGGAGGCTCTGTTCGGTGGCGGCAATATCACAGCCGTCAAACCAAAAGCCCAATGTGGAGGATGCGACTGTTCGTGGAGGCTCCGTTCTGTTCGGTGGAGGCTCTGCTTCAGCATCTCCGTCTCAAAAGCCCACGTCGATGGCCTCTCCTACCTATTTCCATCTCCGGCAATGAAATCCTCAAGTTATTCTGGTGGATCTGAGGAATCGGGATCCTTATGGCACGACAGGGCAGAGGAATTGAGCTCCTCTTTTAGATGTACATCTTTAAGCGAGATTAGGTACATCAAAGCCCGATTTTGGTGTTTCACGGCACAACAACTAGTACAATTGGATCGAGTTCTGAAACTCGCCCATGAGAATTAGCGGTGGTGTGTATGTGCGATGGTGGTGCGGTGGTGTGTGTATGCGTACGTGCGGCGGTGGGTGTCGGAGTTGGAGTTGGTGTTGGCACTGGGGGGTTTTCTATTTTTTTGGTGACACTAGGTGAAACGGTTCTGGTGAAACGATTGTGGATTCTTTTGGTGGGGATGGTGGTGATGGGTGTGCTGTTGCGGGTGTGCTCTGTGTGTGTATGTTTTGTGGATTCTTTTGGTGGGGATGGTGATGATTTCGGGTGGCGGAGGTGATTGTTGGTGATGGTGTTGTTGGCGGCGGTGGTGTTGGTGCTGGAGATTGTCGTAGTTTTTGGTTTGCCGTTGATTGGTGAGGCTATGTTGGCGACGTTAGTGATGGTGGTTGTGGTGAGTTGCCGGCTGTGGTGGCAGCGGCGGAGTAGGGTTAGGGCATGTAAGACGGTGGTGGAGGTGAGGTGGTGTTGTATAGTCTCTGTGACCAATGTTGTGACCTGAGCCATGTGTTGTGA